ATATATTAATGAATAACTTTTTTAATTCATTTAATATATTTATTAAATAACATGTAAAATATCTAAATATTAAAATTAAAAATACAATATTTAATAAGAACTAGTAGATGCTATAATAAAATAATTTTGAAAGTACAATGATGTAGTAAGAAAGTGACATCATTATAGTATATGTGGACAGCCTGCATGGACAATGAGGTGACATAGAAACCTGGGTATAATGAGTAAATTTAAATCAAAAAGTTATCCAATGCTATAATAGGTAAAATTTTCAAAGTACAATGTCCTAATTAAAAAATAGTCTGAAAGTACATTGCTGTAATAAGAAAAACTGGAAGTACAATGCTATAATAAAGAAATTTATGAAAGTAGATTGCTATTTTGTGCATTTTGCCCTATATATATGTCGTTGTCACAACTGCCATACACCCAACCTCACCCCCACCCCATTGACCACCATGCCACTAACGTCGTCATCACAAGATTCACAACTACCATCAGGTTCAATCCGTGAACCGAACGTCCCTTAAAGTTATTGTGTAGGATTGTAAACAATTCTCTAAAAATCTATATAAATTCCTATCTAGTTTAAATATTACATATTTGTATAAGATAAAGATTGCTATGCTATAATTGTTATGAAAACACGGATAAATCTGACTTCAACCAAACCAATCCAAATACATCTCACTCAGAATTAGGGTCTAAAACATATAGGACATGCACAAACTTGGCACATATCGCAAAGAATAGAGCAGTTGTTCTGCAACACCTGATCTAAGAGCTTCGAGAAGCTTGCCAAAAAGTTTTGAATTTTTTTTTGAAGGAATTGAATCCATAAATTTAACCCCAATATCTACAAAATCACACCGTCTAAAGAAACAAACTTTATACAAATATTTCCTATCCTATTTAGATCTCATTGACTTTGTCCATACATTTGATATGTTGGTAACAACACAAGTTGTGCTTTCAACCATAAATCAAATACTAACCCATCACACAAAGACCATTCAGTCATATGCCAATTCTAACCCGCACTCACTTTAGCTTTAGCATAACATTTGAAGTTCAATGGCCTCACTATTAGAAAATGGAGACCATCGCGACCTATTGGGATAGACCAAGACCAAGACCAAAGAGCGGTTTGATCTTTTTTCAGGACAAATCGAGGCTTTTTCAACATCTCTAGTTGCAACTTTCAACAAAAGGGTAAAACAAACGATACATAAATAACTTAAACTCGAATACTCTCTTTTTGATATTTAGGTTGCTTTATACAATGCTATCTATGAAACTCTAGTCTAAAACACAAATTGTGAAGCAAACAAGTTTGTCTGTTCTCAAGAGACAGAGAGGCTGTTCTCCGTGGTCAGGGTCTAGTTGCGCCAGCTATTTTGCCTCTTGGCTTCGAAGGAGGAGCCATCATTGAGCATATCTTGAGCATCGGTTTCCATGCCGAGCTTAGATAGAGCGAGTGCTTGCATGTAAAAGGCGGTTGGCCACTCGGGCAAACACACCTGAGCTTGCATCGCGTCTCTTAAAGCTAGCTCGGGTTGCCCAATCATCATGTAAGATAGGGCCCGTCTCACGAATATTGTACCCGAAGGGACCGACATCATTGAAACTAGCTGCATTTTCCAAAATGCATCAATATTTGAAACAAACAATCAAGAATGATTTTTTGAGTATATTCATTAGTGAATAACTAAATTACCTTCGAATAATATTCAATCGCGCCTTTGAAATCCTTATCCCTAAATGCAATGTCCCCAAACTTTTTTGTGTTTAGCATGTCTTGCACTTGTTGGGTCCATTCTTGAAATGATAGCTTCAAGAAGATAATGGTACCAATAACAAACAAACAAACAAACAAATCAAGAGTAAGATCAAAGTTTGAAGCATATGGGTCGTTCTAACGAATAATTGCACTTGATGTGGTCAAGGGTAAGAAATACACAAAATAAGGTGTCCCTGGTGCACCCAAGTTGGGAAGTCTTCGTATAGAGCCTTTGAACTTGCGGTGGCAAAGAAAACCAAACCAAAAGAATCCAATATATTCCACTCAAAGATAGGGTCTAATAGGGTAGGATGTATTCAGACATGTCCTCAACCCCAAAGGGTAGAGCATCTGATTCCATAAAGACCCTGGCTTGTGCAGAAGTGTGAGCGAAAAGGAAAGAAGAATTTTATTCTTGGTTACTCCATGGCTAGCCCCTTTCGGAAGGGGTGTCGAAAGGGGTGCACCATATGACTTTAAAAGGGTCACCCAACCTAATACTATATTGACCCAAACACGCTCGAGTATGGAGTGGTTATGGGATCTGATGCATTACTGCTGGTATGATCGCACCTCAAGGGTACAAAATATATGAGATAAAAAAATGTTTCAATTATGGTCATAAGTGGAGGTTCTTTTTAGCATGGTGATGCAAATAGTTCAAGAAAATGAAAGAAGTGATGGTCACCTCATTTTCGGCCCCCTCTTCATCTCTATATCCTGTTTTCAGCAAGATTTCATGAACTGCAGTAAGATCCATTCTCGCACACGCCTTCCCAAGAGGAGAAAGCAAGGTTGGAACCACCACTGGAGTTTTGGTCAGACCCATCAACACATGTGATGCAACCTGCAAATGAGAAGCCAAAAATGAACAATTTAGCTCAGATGGGCGTAAACATCACACACACACACACAAACTACTCAAGAAAACTTCACTACAACAAAGTCTTTTATAGTCAATTGTTTTTATAGTACACTTTCTCAAATAGAACGCTTTATTTCAGAAGTGTCCTAAGAAACTTGTTAAGACGCTCAAAAGGGTTCTATAAACTTATTGTAGCACTTTTACATAGAGCGCACAATTGTTTGGTATTATAAACTCAAGTCTTATGAAGCAGTCTAACAGGGAACTGAGATATTTTTGGCATCCTATAACCTGATATAGTTGTAGTGCTTCCATTAAGAGAAAAGGAAGATAATCTCACATCTGTCTGTTTTTGAAGGGGAGCTACTGATGTAAGAAGAAAGTTGATATCAGGACGATCTCTACCCTCGTATTGAAGACACTTTGAAGCAAGTTCCACCATTGCAGTTGCATCTTCATCCGTATATTGTCCTTCCAAGGATGAATCCATCAGCAACAAAACATTTTTCCCACGAATTAAATCTAACGCCTGGAGAAAGATCAAGACAAGAATTTTTGTTTTGATGTTTGTTAGTACTGGAATTACCATTCCACTATTCAGATCAGGATAAACAAGATAAATTGTAGTTCTTTTGTTCTTTTAAATTAAGTTTTTCAACCCGTTATACTTGTATATATAATTGGATATCAACATCTTGTATATGATCCATCCATGTGTGACCCAAAACCTTTGAGTTTCCTTGTTTGTTTAACCTGTTTCCTTGTGTTTCCAAACTCAACTTTTCTTTTCTTTTTTCTCAAAAGTAAAATGACATTTCTTAGGAGGCGTTTGGTTCACAGAATGTTTTTGGATGGAATGGAATTTGACTTTGAATGAATTGGAATGGAACGTTATCAGGTTTGACCACTTGTTTGGTTGACAAATATTGGAATGGAATCTATTAAAGTAATTGGAATCTGTCTGTTTGGCTCATATAATGTATCTTTGGAATTGGAATAAATATTGGTAAATGACCAAAATACCCCTTTTTGAAAATTTTGAAACCGAAATCCAACTATTGTGGTTCAGATCTTTAGTGGTCGGCGGTGGTTCAGGTAGACAATGGTTCAGATTGGCACTGGTAGGCGGTGGATTCAAAAGGGAAAATTTACTGAATCTCAGTTTGATACTAAAAGATGCACAAAGGCATGATCTGATCACAAATATATGACATTTTAAATCTTTCAGCAGTTGGCAAAAGCGAAGAAAATGATAGCACTAGGCAGACATGTTAGCTGCTATAAACTTGAAAATCTCCAACAGATTCTCCAAAATAGAAAGATTAGGAGGGAGTGAAATTCTTCAATTTTGGAGAACTCCCCAAAAATGATTACCATGAGGCAGAAATAACTTTTTATTATATTCCCACCAATAAAAAACCTTGAAATTACAAAGTTTAGGCGAGAAGTATTATTTTATCAAATGTATGAAATATTTTAATAAATTAATTAATTACATTTTATGAAATGCTGTAATCTCCAAAAATGGAGAAGAAGTTGGAGTTGAATGCAATAACTTTTTTTGGAGATTTTGAATTTTGATTCTACATTTTGGAGAATCTGCTGAAGATGGTCTATATGTAAAAGAAAGTAGTTACATGACTTGGAGGGATATGCTTTCCACTCAAAAGGTCCAGCAACACAGTTCCATAACTGTAAATCACACTCTCTGGAATTACCCTGCCTGCAATGACAAGAAAAAATGTTCATATGCTTCAGCATATATCATTCTAATTCAAAACAATGAAATGGATGACAATAAGTGTCACTTTCGAACTGCAAATTAGAACAGGAAGCAAATAATAATAACATCCAAACCAAACAAACAGAGTATATCCAACTTGCGGGATGTATGAAGACCTGGCCTCTACCCCCAAAGGATAGAGCGGCTATTTCCATGAAGACCCCCAACTTATGCAAAAATGTGAGCAAAAAGGAAAGAAGAAACAAGGCTAGTGAATAGTCGGCAGAAAGAAAAACAAAAGAAATAGGCACAATGAAACGTACAAAAACTAAGGGAACACGCATCCTCCTACATTAAGGGGGGCCATTTACCAAGCGCTTACATGTCACTTACCTTACCGGTGAGCATGGCAAGGATGGAGAATCTTACCTGGTAAGAGGCATAACAAGGACCAAGAATCTTACCAGGTAAGAGGCATAGCAAGGACGGAGAATCTTATCCGGTGGGTGAAGGAAAAGACTCTTACCCAGTTAGTGCCTACTGGGAAAGAGACGCATAACAACAATCCAATTTGACGGCCAAGAATGTTATCAGATAAGGTAAGTGAGGGCCCCTAGGACTCTGTTACCCGATCTATCAGCTCCCTAACCCTCCCCCACTCCCTCCCCCACTCCCACTCTCAACCTCTCTAATTCCTTCCTCCTATTTATACGGGTCCCTACACATAAGTCTGCTACCCTAGTCCTGTGTCTCCAAGCACTTTTACCAGAGGATGCTCCCAGTTCCAATTCACAGATCCCAAAATACAAAATCACTAGAAAGTTTGATACCTTTTAGAAAGTTGAATGATTTTAAAAAATAAAATCGACCTTTTTATGGCTATTACAATTTGTTTATTACGCATAGAGAAAAATAATTCCGCAGTTGATTTATTTAGATCAAGTGTCAAGAGTGCTCCGGAACAAATTAAAACACAGGAAGAATTGCAACCATGGAAATGAGATATGATTACTAAACCCTAAACCCATAACCAACCTATAAAAAGATCATAGACACAAATAGTATTTGTTTGCTCATAAGCATATGGTTCTAAAATCTCATTATTTGGTGGTGTTCAAGCATAGATAGGGTGAGTGCCAATAGGTATTAGATCATAGTATAACAAATAATTTTTTTTGCGTAATAATTTTTTCCCTCGTAATGAAGTTTCAAAATTTCTATCTTTTTATCCATTTTGACCGGTAATTTACTGATCTTGTAACATGATGATGACATGGATGTCAAGCGTATCTCCACTTCGCCTTAACCCTTTCATAAAAGGTAATGACATCATCATACGTTACAAGACCAGCATGTTACTGGTCAAAACCAAACTTTGTTGCATTTTGATGCATTTTACGCATTGTATATTGCATACTTACTAAGGTTGTCAAGATCTTTGATTGCCCAATAAGGAATTCAGTTAATGATATTGGTGATAGTTCATAAACTAAAGACCCGTCCAGAGTTTCATAATTAATCGAGTATGCAAATAAAAAGCTAAGCAAGGGTATCTATAAAAAGGTGGCAAGATTGATAAAGGTGTACCTGTACGCAAAAACTCAGGAGGAGTATAAGCAAGATTGGTACTGTAACTCTTCCCATCTCGGCTATTTTTCATCAAACCAAAACTAGATAAGCAAGGGTCACCATCCTGACATACAAATGTAACAATACTTTATTTGACATCAAAAAGGTCAAAGTTTTAATTAACATTAGAATGCAAGGATGATATGGCAAGACAAGTATGAGAAATCATGGAGCAGGGCTTGTGACACAATTCTATTGCCCTCTTTAAGAAAATTTCACTACGTATCTGTTGAAAAACAGTGTTCTAGATGGCGCGACGTGATGGCAACATGGCAATGCCGTGGTGGCAAGGTGCATCTCCTATGTAGCATTAACCCTCATGGCGTCTATTTAAGGCATGGCACCGCCATGGAGAAGTATGGCGCACCATGGCATGTTTTTTTATTTTACCTTTTTGACCTTTTGTTTTTAAAATTTTATTAAATTTATGCTATTTTTACCTTTTGTAAGATCTATTTATCAATATATTATTTTTTTCTTTTTATATGAATTTAAATTGTTCAATCTAATTGGGTAATAGTAAAAGACATATGTGTGTGTGTGTGTGTGTGTATAGAGAGAGAGAAAATGGGGGAACCTCAAAAAGAGGAACCGAAAAACCATGAAAACCAATGAAAAAAAACATATCAATATGGATATCTAATTAAAGAGAATAAAATGATCATTTTTGGGTGTAATTTGTTTCCCTCCCATTTTTGGTTATATTTAGTTGATTGTCGACTAAAAAGTAGGGATGGGGGTAGTTTTGTTTGATAATAAGGTGGTTATAACCACCTTTTAATCCATCATTTGGATCATCTCAATCTAATGGTTCAGATTATTTATCCCATTCTCCATTCTTTTAGGTTCCCCTCTGATTCCCCACCCCCTCTCTCTATATATAAATATAATTATATTACACACTTGTCGCCTTAAGACAACCCTTACAAAACGTTGTGGCTTCGTGATGGCTCCCAAGGCTTGTGGCATGACCTTATCTTTACACAACGCTTCATGTCATTTAGAACTTTGTTATCAAACTATATAACATAAAGAAAACTTGCAAGAGTTATGATGGAACATGTACCTCATCAAAGAGAACTCTATATGCATTGAGATCATGATAGATTTTCCGATTTTCAGCATTGCAATGCTCAAGAGCTTGTGCAATATGGTATGCAACTCTCACACGCATTTCCCATGGCAAAGGCTGTTTATCCCCTGCAGCAACAATTGAAATTTATCAGGTGATAGAAATATGCCAACATAATAACTGAAATCATTCAAATAGTAAAAGAGATTAATGAAAAATAAAACCATCGATAAGAAGAAAGACAACAAAAAATTGAGTTCTATGAATGAAACAACCAAAAGCAACTCAAATTTCTTTGTTAGGATATGTGGAACCCCTTTGAATCAATCTATAAAAAACCCTTTTAAACTACATACATACAGGTTTGATGGTCCGTATCTAGCCAATGTGGGAGTCCAACATTCTTAAAGCACTCTAATCTACATATAGTTTTCTATTATAACTTACAAGTGTCCTGCCACTTTCAAATGTGTTTCTCGAGACAAGAAAGTTTTAAGATTTGAAGAAAAAGACTGTAGGCATAAGATTAGATCAATATAAAGCCATTGATCGAAGAAACATATGGAGCAGAGTTCATTAAAACACAAAACAGTAGCATTTTTAGCTCCAAGTGTCATTTGATTGCCTCTCTGTTCCAAACTAGAGAACACTTTCCAACTTTTGTGGTCAAATTTAGGACCCATTAGCTTCAATCTTTTTTGTGAGTTCATGGAGGAAGAGTTTTTCTCATTTTGTTGCATCCAGCTAAAATCCATCATCATAAACATGAGGCAATCATAAGATATGACAAAAGCATTTATCATGGTACAAAGCAAAAGGCGCAAAACAATTAGCTACTGCACTTTCGAGTAATCAGCATAATGGACATCATTGTGTTACGACGCTAGTTCATACTTTTAACCATGTGAAATGAACTATGACCCTGCAGTTTTGTAAATAAAAAAAAAAGTCCAATTATGAAAAATGAGGAGATAAAAAGAAGGCATATATGAAAGGCATACAGTGAAATAGATGTTTTGAGAGCGTATCGTTGGGCATGTATTCGGCCACTAAAAGACGTTCTTCTCCCTCAGCACAACACCCAATTAGGTTTACCAATCTCTTGTGTCTAACCTTGCCAACCCCAGCAGCTTCTGCCTATAAACAATGCCCATCAAGAATAACCAAAAATAGCCACAAATACACAACTAAGCAAACAGTAAAAAGAGAGAATCTAAACCAAACCAACAAACCCAATATATCCCACCCGGTGGCAGGGTCTAAGGGGTAAGATGTGAGCAAAGCTTTCCACTACCGCAAGAGGCCGAAAATAACATTTTATACCATAGACGACCCAAATATTTTAAAAAATTGAAGGTGATATCTCCTTTTAGCTATAAGAGATTAACCAAATGGTCAAAATCTAGAAACTCCCAATCTTAAAACCAGTTGTACATCACAAGCACTCAAGCCTTAATAATAACACTTTTTTAAAGAGATTATACCACTTTAAGCCATGAAATGTTCAAAAAATGACTACAGCAGGCCATTGAATTCACTTATGGATGACAACTACCACAATTGTAGCCAAAAGGCAATTTTTAAGTCAAACGAATAAATTGACAAAAGTACCCTTGACCATAAAAATTACTACTTTCATTTGAGATGCATAATTCAATTACAAGTAAAAGAAGATATAATATCATAGCACCTTCAACTACCACTACCGGTATCACCACCTTTATATAATGGCAAGTGGTGGAGGTTGAGGGCGGCAGGTTGTTTTTCACATGTATGTCAAATTGTCAATTGCATTGCCTATATAAAACAATAATCTAAATATAGTCAAGGGTATTTTCGTCTATTTCAATATCAAACTGTTACACGCAAATTGAAAAAAGTTACAGCTGAAATTAACATAGAAATGGAGTGATTTAGTTATGTGCATTTGTGTCAAGAAAACCACCAAATTTCTTAAAGTAGCAACATTTTTGGTAATCTTCAACTGTTTCACCTTTTCTTTCAAAAAGAAAAGAAACCATCATCTCACTTTCCAAGAACAAACAGAAAAACATCTTTAGAGCCCCTCTTACTTGTACTGTACAAGTTCTTGATACACATGAAACACGATTCAAGCTCCTTAGAATTGTTCAAAGAAAAGAAAACCTAAAAACTGAATATGAAATGTTGAAAAAAAGAGCCCCAAAATCGTAGATACATACCACGAATTGTTGTGGGTCGGGCCAAGAGAGCTTGGAGAAACGTTTAATTGCAACCACTTTATTGCTACGAAGCTTCCCTCTATAAACCACATTGGGAGCTCTCTCTCCACTCTCCGAAACTATAAGCTCGCTACTGAACCCATTGGTAGCAGCTCGAAGCTCCGTCAGCTCGAACTCTTTGAATGCAGGGACTCCCCGATCTTCAGCTTGTTGATCTGATCCTTCATCTCCATTGGCTTAGTTTTTTCAACAATTCATAAATATCAAAACAATCAATCAATATTCCATGAGATCAAAAACCCAAAACATTACCCCATAATAACAAGCTAAACTTACTTATGAACTCCAAACTGACAGTTAGATGTTAGAGTACCCACATTAAGCAAACAGAACAATGCTGGGAGTGTTAGAAATTTGGAAGAAAATGGAACAAAATATGATTAAGCATTTCGAAAAGCACTAGATTCGACATCGAAACGAAATATAAGGGATCTTAATTTTATGAAAATGATGGTTAAATAGGTACCTAGATCTGGTTTGGATTCAGGGACTTGATCAGGAGATTGAACATTGGCAGTTTTGGACTGAAAACAGCCCATTATTGATCAAATCTTTTCACATAAAACTTGGTCGTAGCTGTTGCGATGAAGTTTGGTTGCATGAAATGAAAACCCTAGAGATTTGTGGGGTTGTTGTGAAGCTTGATGGTGGAGGAAATACAGGGGAAGAAGAGAGAGAAAGTAGAGAGGTGGTGATTGGGGGTGGGGTGGAGGAGAGAGAAGAAGTCACATGATAAGTCGATGATGGGCACGTGACATGGAAGGCAGGTTATGCTAAATTCCATCCTAAATAATCTTTCTAAAAAGATATTTTACACAAAAACAAAAAACATAAGCCATAGAAAATTAGTCTTATTTTATCTATTATGGTACGAAAACAAGAGTTAAAGTGCGAAACATAAAAAGAGATTTGTACCTTTAATTATTTTTAATCTTAAATCTATTCATAAATCACGTTTGATACGGAGATTGATTTGATACATCGAATGGTGGATATCCCTTCTTATGCTTCTCACTTTAACTCTTATTTTCATCAGAACCCAACCATATCTATGTAATGCAGCAAACGGGCAAATTGAATAAATTATATATTTTAAACTTTGGTAATTTATTATATAAATTATCTTATCAATCGTTTCTTAAAAATATTATTTTTTTCATTTTATATTACTCGATTGGTGTGATGTTTGGTTGGTCAAACAACATTGTATTATCAAAAAAAATCTACACAACGTAATGTTTCATCGGTAAAATGACGTTATACTCAAAAGAGATCAATCCGATGATTAAACAACATTGTATTGTCAAAACAGATCTACACAAGATATTGTTTCATTGATGAAAATGACATTGTATTATTAAAACAAATCAACCTATTTTGGTGTTTCATTGGTGAAACAATGTATTATTAAAACATATCAACATACATCAACCCATATGTTGTTTCGTTAATAAAACAAAACTGCTGATGTTTCAAAAGCAAAATAAAAAGTGAGTATTTTTTTATGAAACAATTTATAAGATAATTATGGAAATTTAAAATGTGATTTGGGGCCATGGAGTGGAATGTCAAATTTTAATGTAAACTAAAAAATAAAGAATAAAATAATTGTTTATGTAAAAGTTAAATTTATAGAGTGTTAGAGCATCTCCAATAGTTATTCTGAAATATAAAAGAGAAGATGAAAATCTACAAATTTGAATCGGTCTTTAAAACCAGATATTTAAGAGAGAAAAATAATTATTTAATATTTCTCACCAATAAAAAGCAGTTTAAGAGAGAACTAATACATCATTAAATATATTGGATATTTTAATTAATATTAGAATCTCTAAAATAGAACAGTTGTTGGAGTTGAATGTAATTTTTTTTTAAAGATTTTGATTTTTGATACTCTATTTTAGAAGAAAAAAGTACAACATAATTATAGGAGATGCTTCAGGTTGTGTTATTAGAAATTTTTATGCTTATTATCTGTACTATATTATAAAGCATTTATGCAGAACTCTTACATACAAATTATAATACATAACGTACTAATTTTTAATGCAGCTTACTTAAAATTTAAGAGTGCAAACTAATGATGCAATAGTACAAGTTACTAAAGCTTCTAACTTTTTGTTATCACCCCCAAATCTACTCTCAATGTTCATCTATATCCATTTCCTTTAAATATAGGTCTAACTAACTAATATCGATAAGGATCAATCCTAATCAATGTTTATCTCAAATTCTTTATTTCTTTGTTAGTATTTGCTTATTTATATCTCTATAAAATTAGATGACTTTGACTTCTTCATCTATGCTTAATTCTCCAAAACCCTAGATCTTTGAACCGTATTTTCCCATATCTATTTTTGAACTAATTTTGATATTGATCTTTTGTTGGCAAATGGATTGGTAACATTTTTACAACTCAAGAGTTCAAGTCTCATCAAAGGTAATATATAAACTTGAAAAAAGTAGTGATACTTGTACCGATATAATTTTGATTTTGATCTTTTTGTTGGCAGATCCATAAGTTAAATATGGTGACTTATTGGATTATATGTATTTTCATGCTATAGTATATAGAAAGGTTATAGTTTCGTATAGTGGTAAATTTTGGTGAATATGTATTTTCATGCTATAGTATAGAAAGGTTAAAGTTTCGTATAGTGGTAAATTTTAGTGGATGTTTGTTTCGAGTATGGCCATGACCTATTATGTATAATAAAAACTTTTAAAAATTATTTTTGATGCATTAAATATTGTTTATTGATGCATATTACTTAAAATTCAAGATTACAAGTAAATTGTAAAGCTCCATGTTTGAATTAGTGTAACTAACTGCAGATAAACATAATCAAATACTGGATAAGTATCTCATTTTGAACATAAAAAATCTAAAATATACTTAGAATAATTATTATCTTTATAAAAAAAGTATATTATTAAACCAAAAATAAGTGATTTTGTTATTAAATCTAAATTAAATTATAATAAAAATTTGAATTAAAGAAATTACACAAAAAGAGCAAAAACTTTTAAATATTTAATTTGATACTAATATCGATATTTTTTTTTTCCAAAAATTTATTATACCTTCAAATTTATATTTTATTCAAAAAAATAAAAAAAACATCGTTTTTTCAGTACCACATAAAATTGTATTATAACATTGATGGGAACAAAATAAAACGAAACAATTAAATTGATATGTATCTCGCTGCATTATGCGAGTACCATTCTAATGTATTTAAACGATTTTATCGGTTGATTTTATGAAGTTCAAATGTAGGTTTTTATGAAGTTGTATGCATACATAATAAGTCATATAATTGTGTTATATATATATATATATATATATATGAATGGGTGGTTTATTTTACAAACCATGCAAACTAATCATGATCACTCATTTGTTTCATCAACGGTTGAGACTAAAATGGTTACATGGTTATAGTTACACATTATTATAATAATGATGTAGACGTTTTAATCTCAAACGCCAATGAAACAAATGAGTGGTTAGGATTGGTTTATATGGTTTGTTGGATTTACATGCTTTGTAACACATCACATATGATTTTAGTATTAAATCACATGAATACAAACACAATATTTTCCAATTTAAATTATATATTGATAAAGAAGATCAATACAGATTTTACAAGGTTGTTTGCGGAAAGATAAGGTAATGAAAACCTATCTAAACAATCTTTGATTAAACACGAGTTCTTAGCAAATAAGAAAAGAAATGCTGTAAAGAGTTACTTAAGCTAGAAAATGCTCAAAGTAAGAATTAGGTTATGAGAGTGAGTTGCGTGCACTCTGCATGGAGAAGAAACACTTCTATTTATACCCAGTGCATTAAATGAATCTTTAATGCAATATGATAGGGTTAGAGTGCGTGTCAAGCCTTAAGAGGAAGGCTTGTCCTTTGCTACAGTGAATAGTACAAAAAACACTATTCATGAGCAGACATCCTTACCTAAAGTTGGTGGACAATAGAGTCGACTAGTCGGCTCTATACCGTACCAACATTTATTAGGGTATGAGTTTGTCCTTTGTGTGTAGAAGGACAAGACAACAACAGTCGTGCTAAACAAGCTTCCTTTGATCACTGAATGCTGGAATGACCTGAAGGTCTCTTCAGCATTCGCTGAGGCTTGAGCAGTCTTCACACATATGTAGACGAGCTTGTAATCACTGAGTACTGCTTCAGATCACATACTCGCCAGTCTCTAATCTTCAGTTTTAGTCTTCGACTTTGGCTGAAGGTTCTTTGGTGTGAGTGTTGTATTCTTGAAGTATTTGTTGTCTTTGATTAAATTACAATACAAGTTTTTCAGCGATCACTGAACAGGCTCAGTGATGATCGCTGGAACTAAAGAAACAGAAACACAAATACTACGATTAAGTGAAAATGGATTATCATCAAATCACTGAGAGAGAGGATCAACAATCTCCCCCTATTTGATGATAACAAGACAACATAAAGAAGGTTGTCTTATCAAATAATAGTAAGGAAAAGTTACAAAAAAATTCATGTCCCATTTTTACTATTTTGGGATCTTTTTCAGTGAGTCAGTCTCAGCTTGAGAATTTTCCTTAAGTTATATCTAAGAAAATTACAAGTATGAAAACTGAAACTGAAAGTTTATTCACTGACGTATAGATTGTCAGTGAATGTGAAAAGTAACACTGGAACTCATAGACTTGTGTCCCTATTACTTTTTTCAGGGATCTTTTTCAGTGAAGTACATGGAATACTCATTTTATTATCATTGGTAATATTACAAGTATTACAGTACATGTCTAGTACTTACAGACTATAACTATAATCACTGAAAGTAGACATAGTACAAGAAGTTACAAGGAAAAGTAGATTGTTGTTACAAAGAGAAAACTAATCTAGAACACTTAAATCTATGTAGCTAGGTACATCTTCACCAAGGTTTCTTCGACGTAGGCATTCCCTTCGTATCTTCAGATCGATTACTTTTCCAGGCATGCTATCATCTATCCAGAGCAAAAGGTAAACCAAATGGCTTATTGGACTTAGATGTAGCTCTAACATTCTCTGAAATTTGACTTCACCTTCATATTCAAGGAATATAACTCCTAACTCAGCTTTAAAATGCACAGAGTTTGGTGTAAAGGGACCCTTATCTGGCAAGTCAAGATTCAACATAGAAATGTATGTACTCTGGTGACCCTTCAGGACTTCATCTAAGGAGAACCTTGTTTCATGTTCGTTCCTTAGGAATGGTCCATCATTAGGATCAGAGAGCTTGAGTTTCTTCTTCCCACCTTTCTTCAGAGATAGCCTGTCAGGGACCTTGACATATCTGGACATCATTTTGATGAGCTCACTGATGGTGTCCTCGATAATTGTCTTGTGTCTCGACTTGGATCCCTGAGTGGCTTGTCTGATCTCCATCCATTTGTTGTATCCATAACGGCCTAGATAAGAAGGGTACTCGGTGATGGCATCAAGATGTCTCTGGTGATGAGCATTGAGACCAGTGTTCCACCGTCTTTTGAATGTTCACTGATGCTGATGCTGATAATCGAGCGGGGACTGATTCTCTTCTTCAGCTTTGCTTCGCTCCACCGCTTGTCCTTTTCCACCAGCTTCAGGTTCTTCTCATGCTCAGCTTCTGCAATAGAAAGAAGTTTAGCCTAGGCTTGGACAGCGTTCACCGTTTTCTTGGACTTTCTCTTAGGGAGGACCTTCGCAGCTAGTGACTTAGCCAGCT